TGTTTCCCCTTTGCATCAACTGCAATTCTTTATTTTGATGATTGTCTCCCAAGGACTTCAAGTTGGGAATCATGAGAATTTAGATGAATAACATCCCATGTCTCTCAAACTGATTATTTATAATCGATAACGTTTGAATTTTTTCATCATTAATTACTAATAAAATATTGACAAAATTTTTTTATCTATAAAGTTTATTTTTCTGACAGGCTAATTATATATATAAAAAATAAAATTTTAATAAAAAAATATTTTGATACATTGCCATAAAAATTTTTAATTTTTATTAACCGGATTAGAAGATCATGTTAACCATAGCTTAGAATATATTTAAGTTTGTTAGGTGGGTCATCTAATTTCTTGCACATGCTTGCATCTCAAGGATGGGTGTCCAAATTATACTTACGGTATGTGGCTATCCCGAGATAAACCCAATTACCCAAAGCAGATTTGCGGTTTGACTAATTGCCCGAAATCTCTCACGCATTTTTCAGCGTATTGAAAACTAAAATGGCTTTAGAACCCCCCCAATTCTTTGATCTAGTTATTAATTGTAGAGAATATCTCAAGTTGAATAAAATAAGGCATCAATAAATTTTCTCTCTCTCTCTCTCTCTCTCTCTCTCTATATATATATATATATATATATATAATTATTGGTTGTCACTGAAGGGAAAACACTGCTGGTTGTCATGGATGATTCTTCAATTTAATCTGCAGAACAACTTTGACAAGAAAGAATTTTTGGTTTATGACTAGATTTTTTTTCCTTTCCTTCTCCTACTCTTGATGGTTGTGACTACATCAACCATTGGGTATGAAACTTTTTTTTCATTATATTTACAGGTTGTATAAAAAGATGAATAAGATAAAATAATAATTATTTTATATTATGTTTTATTTATATTTAAAGATATGAATAAGATTATAAAAAAAAATTATCATCCTCTTTATATAAGATTATTTTATACTTGTCATAACGGTTTTGAGACCGTCAGACGTAAAACGAATTTAAAAATCGAAGAAAATAAATAAAAGTGAGAGTCACCACCAATCTTTGTTAGGGTGTGATTGGCCACCCAAAAATTTATCTTTTTAATAAAACTATAAAACGGATTTAAAGTTTATCAAAAAGATAATTTCGGTCTATAAAAAAACAGGTTGGGTCCGGGAGTCGGTTACGCATGGAGAAGGATTAGCACCTTTACAACGCCCATAAATTGGTATCATTTAATTACACGTTATTTTTGGTGTTGGGTAAAAATGATTTTAATTTGAAATTTAACACTAATTCTCTTCACTTAAAAAAAATAAAATTTTGCTAAAATATTTATTTAGAACTATTGAGAAAATCTTTAAGTTAAAGAATTATCTTAAAATTCTCCATCGTCTAGGCAGAATTTAAAATAATTCTTTTCACCTAAGATTTAACACAATAATCCTTAAAATAAAATAATAATCTTTATAGAAAATAATTGTTAGCGACTCTCCAACATCTAGGTAGAGTACCAAGAATTATTTCTTTCGGAATGTTATTCTTATTTTGTTTTATAATATCACAAAAATTTTTAATAAAAATGTATTATTCTTTTTTATTATAAAATATTTTATCATCAAATAGTAAATTAAAAAGAGAATAATGCAGACAATTATTGATGATAACATGCTAACGCATATCATGCTAATGAATGTTATGTAAAATAAAATACAATTTAAGAGTTGGATTTTTAAGTATAATGAGATCACCCCGCCTCTCCAACATCTAGGCACAGTTTAGGTACGACTGTTTATATTTAATATCCCAATTTTTTATTATACTTTTTATTTATTAATCCTATTATTAATGTAAATTAAAAACTCGTGTGAAAAGACTTAACGAAGTAAAATTTTTTAAATATCCCATCATCTTAGGCAACATCGGAAACAAATTTGCTTCAAATAAATTTTTTCACACGTGTCCTTTTAGGATTTAGGATGTTTGAGTAAGGGGCCTTTGAGTAGAATTTGAAGGTTTGATTTTAAGGTTTAGAGGGTTTTAAAGCTTCTTGAAGTTTTATGGGATATGAAAAGTTTAGATGTTTGATTTTTAAAGTTGGAAAGTTAGGGTTTGGTTGAAGGTTGTTGGAGTTTTGATTTAAGGTTTGGATTTTAGGGATTTTGAATTTAGCGAGGCTTAGGTTTAAAAGTTTAAAAGTTTGGAATTTTGGATTTTGGGGGATTTTAGATTTTAGGAGTTTCGAATTTTAGGGGGTTTAGATTTAAAAGATTTTGAATTTTTAGGGGGTTTAGATTTAAGGGATTTTGGATTTTTAGAGGTTTTAAAAACTTAAGATTTTGAAAATTAAAAATTAGTGTTTAAGGTTTAAGTAAAACGCGAACATCTCTAAAAATCTCTATCATCTAGACAGACTTTCGAAGCAAGTTCAATTTTTTATAATTTTTAAAAATTAATTTAAAAATTTCTTATATGTTTTTTTTTATGAAAATTTATTCATAATAATTCCCCAACATCTGGGCGGTATTATTTTTTTAAAAAAAATATTTTTATTTCCTCCAACATCTAGGCAGGAAAAATAATAATAATAATAAATATTTTTTTGAACATTTTTAATATTTTTTAATAATTATTTATTTTTAATTTTATTATTATTAAAACAATTAAACATTTATTTTAACAAATTTATAAATTTATCACGTACAAATATAAAAATATACTTAAAATAACAAAAATAATAATATAAAAAAATTTAGAAAATTAAAAAAAAAAAAATTTTTTTACCTGAACCGGACCGGTTCAGCTGGACCAAAAAAAAGTCGGTTCGGTGCGCGATTCGATTGAACGGTCTATGGTTCAATCTGGTTCAAACCGGTTCAATTGGACCGATCAGCAGTCATTGGGAGAACGGGTCCACAAGTCGGGTTAAAGCAAATCCTAGGTCGGATCTGGGTCAACGCGCGGATCCTCCTTGGTCGAAACAACGTCGTTTTGCTCCTTAGTCCTTTATATATAACAGAAAAAAAAATTTTGTTCATTTGGTTTCTATTTTCAAAAAAAAAAAAAAAAAAGAGAGCTTTGGGAGAGCTCCAGAGCTCTCACCGTCAGGTTGTCAGATCACCGCGTCGGCCATCGCCTGGGTCACCGTCGGGCATCACTGTCGGTGGTCGTCGGTGATCGAAAAATGCCAAAATACTTTCAGAAGCGCTCTTCAACGCGCTCTTCCAAGATCTGACCTCCTTTTCGTCGAAAACAGCCCCGATCAGTGTAGATCGAGGCTCAAAGTTTCTAAGTTTACTTTTTTTTTTTTTAATAAAACAAAGGCTGATATGATTTTTTTGTTCTTGCAAAGAGCTCGATGTTGAGGCTCCTCGCCGTAGATGAGGATTGTGTCTTTGTTTTTATTTTATTTTTGTTTTTTTTTTACGTTTCTATTTTGGGTATTTTGGTGTAGTGTTTGGGTTTTTCTGAGTGTGGGAGGCTAGGATTTTGGATATTTAAAAGCTTGTTGAAAGGGGGGGTTGTGTATCCGAAAGAGCTTTTGAAAAGGGGGATTCCAGAGGGAGGTTGAAGGAGATTCGAGAGAGAAGTTGAAGGGGATTCAAGAGAGCTTCTTCCGAGAGCTTGAAGGAGAAATGGCCGGAGATTTTTAAGAGCTTCAATTAGTGGGATTTAGGTGGCTGTAGGTAGGCTGAAAGAGAGCTGGTTAGGGGGCATCAGGGGACTGACAGAAGGCTGTAGGGTGGCTGGTCGGGGGCGGCAGCAGTGCTAGTTACTCTACTTTTTGTTTTTTCTCTTTTTTTGTTACTTTTTTTTTCATTTCATTTTTTTATATATTTTTATATAATTAATAATTATTTTTAAATATTATTATTATTAATATTATCATTAAAATTAAAACAATAGACCCGAACAAAATCGGTGTCTACAATACTCTCAAAGTATAAAAAAATATTTTTAATCCATGAGATTGAATTTACATGTTTTATTATACTTTTAAAAATTAATCAATACTTTAATTTGTATAAATTTTAAAAAATAATAATTTTGACTAATAAATAATTTATCTTATCATAATTCTTACACACATCTAACATAAAATAAAATGATATTATTTAATTTAATTCTATTTATAATATCATTTTATTCTATATACCATTTTTTTTTAGAATAAATTATTTTGAAACATTGGTAAGCTCGTATATCCAATTTCAAGAATAGAAAATAACGATCCAGCTAGGCTTGGATTTAACCCCGATCTTTTCTAACAGTAAACCATGGCAATTAAGAGCATTATCTTGTTATCATCTATAAATGTCGAGAGAACCAGCCATGTTTAATATATTTCATGTCATACTAAATTTTGAATGGAAGAAGGATCATGAATGCACAAACACAATAGTTACTGGCAGTAGTAATGTTTTTTTCAAATCCCAAATGTAAACAAAAAATGTGGATTAGTACTCTTTCACCACTATAGATTAATTGTCTCTGTAGTTGAGACTTGATCAGAGAACAGCTGCAACTTTCTTAGTGCTCCTTCTACCCATTTCACCTTACCATGGTCACATCATCAACTCTCAGCCCCCTTTGGGATTGGACTTCCTGTTTTGCTCCATCGTAAGCCAAGTTATATATATCGGGAAAAAAAATAATAAAAACAATTATGCTTAGTCTTGTCAAAGCATATTTTATAGTAACCAATTAATGATATTAAATGATTGATAAATAATTGATAACATATTAATTAATTATAAATAACAAAATAATAATGATGGATAATGTAGTAGTAAATAATGAATACCATTGTAATAAACCCATAAACATAATTGTAAAAAATTTACAATTCCCTTTCATGAACTTGAGTGGAAGGTGAAGTGGCACCACAATTCCCTTCAAAGTACCTGTCTCGACAAAAATATATTGGCGATTGGTGATGTACAACAATTGCCTTTTAGTAAGGGAAATTGCTTCACAAATTATCCAGGATCACTTAGTGGCTGCCTGTTACCTCCAGAAACGGGAGGCTAATGCCCAAGATTGTTTGCCAAAGATCATATCATAGGTGAACCTTTGTAGATATATACGTTGAAATCAATGCTCAGGTTTTTTCTTCCTTTTTAGGCACTGAAGCCTTGTTTGGCCAATGATGTTTTATGTCGGGATGAAGATGAAATGAACAATAAAAAACTTGATTGAATAAATGTAAGAAGGCAACCAATGTGCCGACAGACGGTGTTAGTTTAGTTACCTTTCATTTTCATACATCTCTATTGATTCATCGCATGTAGGCATGCGAGTATATGGCTATATGCCCCTCGAGCCTCCAGCATCGGTTCGTTACCTTCACCAAGCAGATTGCCACAATCACATCCGGAAAGTGACCCTCGCGCAGATTGGGCGGTGGAAACCGGTGCATATACTTAGGTACCGTGTCGTTTGACATTGCGATAGGGTAACGGAAAAAAACATACAAAAGAAAAAAAAAAGTTCCAAACATTGAAATTTAAATCCCATATTTACGAGATTTCAATTAATTAGCAGATTTTAATTCGTGGTCTGAATCCAAATAAAAAATACTACATCAGCTTTTCTTTCAAGTTTACAATACCTGACATGTTCGTGTATAGATTGCACGTTAAGTCGAAACTATCAAACCATTAACAATTTAATATAAAGATATTTGAATCCACCATCGTTTAAGTTGTTTCTTTAAGACTGGGTCATTGAGAAACATTTACGACAAACAGATATCCCGCGCCCTTTCAAGCGAATATGGCCTTTTATGTGTATGAAAAATTGCTCTTCTACTTCATACGGCCCATCAATTCCTGCTGGATTTGCATATCAATATTTGTTTGGCAATTAGAAAAGAGCAAAGGGAGCATCAGATAATAGACAAAAGGATTATTACTATATGAACAAGCAAAATCAAACCATTTTTGTATGCAAGCAGGTAAATCATAAAACTTCAAAAGCCATCAAGCTACAAATTTAAGTGGCAGTTCATCAATTTTCCTGTCAGTCTCATCAAAATGGGCAGACCGAAATAGAAGGCCGCAAGAAAAGCCATTGCTTTGAATAATTTACCATAAACACTAGCTTTTATAACCATGGTTCAAGAACATTGGATTAAAGCTCCAACTGAGATGTACGAACATGATATGCAGCATTAAATAACATTTCACTAGAATGATAGTAGTCATGTGGACAAACATAGGAAGATAAGCTAAGCCTTGGCTTTTCCAGCTTGATGAGATTGAATCCTCTGCTGCACCTTTAATATCTAGTGGATACAAAACCAATGATCAGATTCAGTTGCTTTTACTCGATACCTTTATTTGTTATGCTTAGCGAGAAAAGCATATTCTTGCATGTAACTTTTTGCAAAATATATATTAGGAATGCTGCATGAGAGGAGGTACAAAAAGGAGCACAAAGCAAATATGGCTCATAAATCTAACTACATTATATTATCCACACTAAGGTGCCTGAATTCTAGAGTTCAATCTTTAGAGGACATAAACATTTTCAAGTGTTTTCTCAATATACTTCAACATGACTTGATTTCATATCTTGAAGAGTTTAACAGAAACTTATGTTGATGGTTGGTATTCCAGTTTATGAGAAGGCATCTTCCACAAAAGCCAAACATCCATGTAAAAAGCAGTCTGTAAAGGGTCATGGTATTAAGGCTTTGCTTGGTAGGAAGGATGAAAAGGGGTGAGGATGGAAAATTTATTAATCTAATGGTTATCCTACAAAGTAGGACAGTGGTTATGAATTGCAACCATTAGATTAGCAAGTTTTCCATCATTGCCTATTTCCATCCTTCCTACCAAAGTATAACTCAGAGATGCAAAAGGCAAACCAACAAATTTGTAAATAATAAGATGTTTAAAATAAGAACAAATTTAAATGAATTGCAGATATTAAATCAGGAGTCAGCTTCCAATTTGAAAATTTCACCTCTAGAAGAAGGAAACTGAACCCTGATGAATCAGGTAAGACCAAACAAGTAAATAGTGCAAGTTAGGACCAAAAACTAGACAAATAAAGTATGATTAAATTAGCACCCAACGAAGTTACTTATTTCAGGTACTCCTTAAGACCCAAAAAACATTATAACCAGGATTCACAATCAAAGAAAGCAAGCTTGAAAAGCTCAGAAGCCAGCTTCATTATTATTTACCTGACCATTTGCTATCATTGCAGCCCTAGTAGCAGCCATGAGCAATAAACACTTGCCTAAGGCTTTGAACCATACTAATAATCAATCCTAGTCTCAACTTTCATAAATCATAAATAGTCATGCTTCTGAATGATTATCTACTGGTATTCAATTGTTTAATTCGGCACAATAGTATTAATTTGCAATTCCAAAAACATGCTGTTATGCTGTTGTTCAAAGTCATACAGAGACAACTTATATAGAATCAAAAGAGCACAATTAAGGATCATAGAAAAGGAAGAACACCAACCGCTTCTCTCTTGCTGTATTTTTTCTCTTCCAAATCTTGAAGAGATGCATCAAGTCGCTTCCTGTTGACAAAGAAACAAAGTTATAAAGTTAATATACATGCAACAACAAACTTCAACAATATGGTATGATAATAAAAATGTCCCGTAATGGATAGTTGTATTATCAAAAACAGCAGATACAAGGCTATTGCCTAAGTATGTAAAAGACAAGTAACAGAGGAAGTAGATTTGATTACAACTCAGCAAAGCTTGGGGTGAAGAACACCCTCTACTTCTTTCTACTAAATAAGAAATTCACCTTTAATATTGATGGCCTGACTAACATCATTATCATGAGAAGCTTTCCCCATGACACAAGATATTTACTGAAGAAACCAATGAGTAAGATAATAAAATCCAACTTAGCTTAGTTTAGCATTCAGGTTGGGTTGCAGAATTCTGGTTTGAAAAAACATATTTGAAAGCCACTCGTAAATTCAAAAATCATAATCCCAACAGCACCAAAACCACAACTTCTGTTTTCAAACCACAATGCCAAACATAGCCTTAAAAAATTCAGAATAAGTAACACTGTTAATGATTCTTAGACAATATCAATGGGAAGTTATACAAGACAAACTATCCATAATTTACAACAAAAAAAAAAAAAAGCAAAGGTAAAATGTAAAAAGAAGCGTACGATTCAGCGGAGATGTACTCAATTCTCTTGCGAACATTGGCATTGGCCTCCGCTAAATCTTGTTTCACAAGCACTGGACCGATCAACTTGTACACGTTTGCATCCTCGTTTAACAAATCCAACTCCTGATAACATTTTCAACAAAAAGAAAATAATCATCGGAAAGTCAGGCTAATTAATTAATCAATCATTTATATCTGCAAAATAAGGAAAAGCCATCGACACCTTGAGCACTAGCTCGTTCTCTCCTAACTGAATAGTGTACTTCTTCCTGACTTGATGGTTCTTAGCAATATCTGACAGGAACATTAACAAATACATAAATAAAACTTTAGGGTTCGTTAAATCGAAATTTTTGCGTGAAAATAGTGAATAAATAAGATGCTGACATGGGTTTTGCTTGGCCTGCCTTTTTGGAGTTTGCTAAGATCGTTAGCTTTGTTTTCGAGGTCGCGCTGTAGTTCTCGAAGAGCTGTCGAGGAGGAACTCATTGTTTTTAGCTGCTTCGTTGCTCTAGGCTCAAGCTGAATAGCTATCCTTGCAATTTGATCGAGAAGAAGCAGTCAAAATTTTTGAAAGGCCTATTTTTCATTTTAATTTTTTGGGCCGGACCTTGGATTAGGCAACCAAATGTCCAGCGCTGAAAGCCCTGACTTGATGTGGGCCTTTTGTAAATTTTAATATGAAACCCTAAATCCTATTCTTATCTTAATTATTTTAATTGGACCATATATTTTTTGACATAATCTTTTACATATGCAACATGAATTATTATAAAATTTTAAATTTAAATTATTTTGTTCATTACAATAATTTATACACTATTTATAATTTTAATATTATATATGCATATATATATATATCTCAATTCCCTTAAACAATTTTTAATTTTGTCCCCGACAATAAGAACTAATAAATAAATCACTTGCAGCAATAGATACCATGCATGCTGAGATTAGTCTACAAAGATTTTGAATTCAAAAGCAAAGAATAGTAGTATTAATGTAATGATAAATGCTAGTATAAATAAGGCAGAGAGGCGTATAGGATTGGGCAAATAGTATTGTTAACTACACTTTTACACTCTATCACATCCCAATAAATGCCCAAATAAAATTAAATGCTTAAATAACAAAGAGCAGTATTTGACAATGTAACAAAAATCAATAGAAAGATGGTCCAGTTGGTAAGATATTCATTTCAAAAGATGATCTAATTTTACTCAAAAATTGAGCGCCAATATCTCTTGAAAAAATAAATAAAGTCTATAGGCTTGGATATTTATATGGTGAAAAAAATCAAAAGCAAGAAAAGAAATTGCGATTAGATTGAACACTGTTAAGTAATGGTCGTACGGTGGTGGACTTGGCCCGCCGAAAGACCACGGTTCTCAATAAACGGAATTAAACTCCGTTACTATTAAATTATTATTATTATTATTAGGATTTTTATCTATTATTATTAACTACAATAACAGAAGAAAAAAATAAAAGAAGTAAGAAGCCGGAAGCCAATAAAAATATAGTGGTGGGAACTGGGAACACAAGGTGGGCCTTTTTCTTTTATTCTTCAAATAAAAAAACCTTGGAAAAAAATCTGCTTTCTGTCAAAAAAATAATCATCCCAAAGTAACCGCGATCAAGTGCTTAACTCCAAAAGCCAATGTGCAAAAGACTATATGGTACTGGAATCTTTGGATAGAAAGAAACTTCCTGCTCTGCCTCCCTTCCTCATCAAGGCAGAACTCCAGAGAGAGAGAGAGAGACTGAAAACCTTTACCAAAGAGGAGAAAGAAGGATACGAATCGGCCAAGAAGATGGCTGAGAGTTCGTCAAGAAGCGAATGGATCTTGCTTTTTATGCTTATCTTTGCTCATTTCTCTTCTATATCACTAGCTGAAGATGGTATGTACTATCTCTTTTCTCCATTCTCCATCTGCACATACTATTTTCTCTGTTCCATCTTTCTCATGCTCAGTTACTTACATAAACTTCTTTCCTCTTTTTGCTTTTTTTTTTTTAATGTTTTAAAGTTCTTGCATTGCTTCTGGATTATGCTTGGTGGGTTTTTGTTATGTTTGAGATCTGTTAATTACTTTAGCTACAGTTACTTGGTAAATCTGTTATCCGATGTAGGAGATTTGGTTGCTGATTTGCTTTCATGTTTTCGACATTGCAGTTATAATTACAAGTAAAATTGGATTTCAGTTGATTTAGTTAAATAGGTTGAGTTCTTCCATTCTTTGTTATTCCTTCAAAGAGCAATTAATGCCCATATATTTCAGTAACCATTTCATTCAGTTTCCCTGCAAATGAACACATGAATTTCCTGCAAAGATTCTCGTCTCTTCTTCTTCCCTTTCCTGTAAACTCGATAGCTTCTTTTATTTTCTTTGATGAAGCCATTAACTCACCGCCATTTTACTGGTAGTTGTCTACTTTGAGTAAAGAGTGAGCTTTGATTATACTCCAATAGAGCCAGTGTAGAGATTTTGTACCTTGATAACTTGTACAATCCAAATTAGTTTGTTTGATTTTTATTTAAAAGTCTAAACGTGGGCCTTAAAAATGTGTCTTAAGGGCTTAAATCTTTTGTTTCTTTTTCCTTTCTAAATTCAAAGTGTTTAATCATGCAGTTAGTGAGTACTGTTCATAATTTGAAATAAGCTTTAAAGATAGTGTCTCACCCCTGGATTGTCTGTCCCACCATAGTTGAGTGTTTCTTGGAGATCCTTTCTCACTTTTAGTATGCAAGCCTGTTATTCCTCTAAAATGCTTATTGCATTGTTTTATCTATTAATTACTTAGTCTAGTTTCCTAGCAGATTCTATTAGTAAGCTTTTACAAGTGAGGGAGCTTTAAATAGAAAAACTCCACCACAATAATTCGATGCATTAGGTGAATCGGTTTCCCAGTCATTGTCGCCTACATTATCAATCGCCCTTGTGGGGTTCTAGCATTTTGCACAAGCCATAGGTGGTCAATTGGCGGAAAGCTACAGCATTAACCTATAATATAGGTGCCAAACTTTAAGCTTGGTTGTTGGTACCCTCTTTTCCAAGTGGGAGTTTTCATAGGAAAAACTGTTGAAGGTATATAATCTTTGAACTAAGAAACATTGGTTAACTAACATTGATAAGGGCATCAAAGGAAAATAAAGGAGAAAAAAAAAATGATGACAATGTCAAAAAGGTAGAGGTGTGGGTGGGAATAGAATAGAATAAGGATTTTGACAAATGCATTGGTTGCTTCATGTTTTCTTTTTAACTCATTGTGAGGTGAGTGAAATGACCAAAGAGGAACATATTCCGCCAAATATCTCCCCCTTTTCTTTGCTTAATTTAACAAAGGACGGATTTTCTTTCTGCAAATCCCTGTCTTTTGTAGTACAGCCCAAATTTCCAGCTCAGTTCTGTCCCATTAAAAGGATTCACATTCACAGTCATAAGCACGCACACTTCTACTTTCACTTTCACTTGGGAGTCAAAGTAGGGAGGACTATTGTAGAAAAAATGATGGGTTGAAATGGTAGGGTAGGGCCCACACGGTTAACACAGGCCCGTGGTTCAAGTTGGGTAGGACCTGTCGTACTGCCTTATTGTGCACACATCCATCTTCATTTTTTTTGTCCCTATTTGGAAATGAAAGCTTCGTTCTTGTCTTGGCAGTAGTAGTATTATTCTCTTCATTCATTTTATTGGGCGAAGTTTCGTTGTTTATCAGTGCATGAGCTCTCCTGAGTCTCCTCCAGTTTAAGGCTACTAGCTAAGATAAGGTTATCCAAAGACTTGTGTTCTTCCTACTAGCTTTTGGTTGCCATATGTTTATGTCAATGTAAATTCAGCCACACGTTGTTAATTGCCCTAGGATTTGATTCTAATTGGGTTTTAATATAGTTTGTTCAAATATATGTTTAAAGTAATTTGTATGTAGTTTGCAAATCAATTTTTTAGAACTCCCTATATTCATCCTTAATATTTTAGCTATCCAACTCGATTCGAACTTTATCGAACATGTTACTAAAACTTTAAATATCATTAAGTCTATTTGAAAGTTGGATCTCAATCATAAAACGCACATTTAAGTGTGACCAGATCTCTTCAATCGGGTTTCTCAGTTTGGCTTCTAACTGACCCTAATTTAAAAAGAGCACTCCTCCAACAATTTTTGCACAAATTTCAATAAAATTAATATTTTCTCCTTTTAAAATTATTTAGGTAATATTAATTTTCACGTAATTAAAAAAAAGAGTTTTGGTAGAGTTATTCATGTTATTTGCGTTTAATCTGACATACATTTGAGTGTTTAATTAATATTTTATTGTGTTTTAAATTATTAAATTTATATTTATGTATCATAATAATAAAAAAAAGTCTGCGCCTTTTTATTTTTTATATTTTTAAATTTTTAAATTTTTTTCCGTTTGGTAGGCAAGTGATGTAGATATTGGAAATTTTTGTCTGATGGTTTGATCGGCCAACAAGGGTCTACTAACCGGCATCAAAATTTTCTTGAGAATGAAACATACCTGCTCGTGTGCTGTACTTACTTTCTCAAATTTTTTGTCGTCAACCGAGAGCGCACATGTACGGATAGGGCCGCTTACCCTTTGTGATAATTCATGGGTGCAAAAAATCTTTCATGTTTGTGCAATAAATTTGATCCAATAGGATATTTGATTTTCCCCCAAAGGTCATGGTAAAAGTATGGTGTGACAATCTATTTTACTTTGTAGGTCTGGTGGCAAATGGTGATTTCGAGACACGACCATCGAACGGCTTCCCAAGCGAGGCAATATTGCATGGGCCAACCGAGATTCCTAGCTGGACAACGAACGGCACAGTGGCGCTGGTTTCGTCTGGGGAAAAAGTGGGTGGTGCGATGCTGCTCATCGTGCCCCGAGGCAGGTACGCCGTTAAATTGGGCAACGACGCGGAGATCAGCCAGGAACTGACGGTGGAGAAAGGATCCACGTACGCAGTTACTTTCAGTGCGGCCCGCACTTGCGCGCAGCTGGAGTCATTGAACGTGTCCGTTCCACCTGCATCACAGACGGTAGACCTCCAGACATTATACAGCGTGCTAGCGTGGGACCCCTACTCGATTTCTTTTGAGGCGGAGGAGGATAAAGTACGGTTGATTTTTAGGAATCCGGGCATGGAAGATGACCCAGAATGTGGGCCCATCATTGATGATATTGCCATAAAAAAACTCGTTAGTCCTGATAAGCCGAAAGGTAAAAAACTACAAGTTCTCTTTTTCTCTTTTTGATATTGATTGCCGTTTTCTTTTCTTTTCTTTTTCATTCACTTTTTTGCTCTTGGCATGCGTGATTTGGTGGTTCGCATTAAACGTAATGCTAATAGTTGTCGGTAGTTCTTTTTCTTAAAATACTCCCTAGTTTAGGAGGGGGGACAGTCTCACAATTTTTGTCTTGGTTTAGGTCCATTGTTTGTCAAACTAATGTACGAGAAATTCAAAGCTCATTGTCCTATGAAAATTTCTTTTTTGGTGGTAAATTAATTAGACTTTAAAGGAGTATCAATTTAAAAAAAAAAACTCAGTATCAGCTTGAAAAAGTGTCCTATTTTTCTTAGCTTTTCTGTGTAGGAATAGCAGCAAATTACAAAAAAATGTTAGGTCAGGCCATGCCTCAACATCCTTAGTTACAAAGCATCGTAGCACTCCTTAGAAACTTTGCCCTATCAGGCACAGCATTGAAATGATAAGACTGTCAACGTGGTTCAAATGGGGGTTCATCATCATCATCTGTGCAATTCTAAAAATACAGTAGTAATCAGTTTGTCTTTGTCATGTCACATGCGGTGGTTGTTATAAAATATCTGTTTCTAATACTAGAGTTGTCGAGTTAAATGTAGTCACAATGTTCGACATGCATGTGTTTTCAACTCACCATTTACTTTGTATTATCTTGTAGAACCAGGATGAATGCTCTGATGAATGTGTTTTAATTGTGTTTTCTCACGTTGTTGATTGAGTTTCACTTTGCTGTATGTTTTCTTCAGACAATGCAGTAGTTAATAGTGGCTTTGAGTTTGGGCCTTGGATGTTCCAAAATGTATCTCTTGGAGTCCTGCTCCCAACCAACCTTGATGAAGGGACATCCCCATTACCAGGATGGATGGTCGAATCAAACAGGGCGGTTCGATACATTGACTCCAACCATTATGCAGTCCCAGAAGGCAAACGTGCCATTGAGTTGGTCTCAGGCAAGGAAGGTATCATTTCTCAAATGGTCGAAACCACACCAGACAAGCTATACAGCTTGACCTTTTCTTTGGGCCATGCTAGGGACAAATGCAAGGAACCACTAGCTGTTATGGCCTTTGCAGGAGATCAGGCACAAAATTTTCACTATACACCTGACTCTAACTCCACCTTCCAAGTTGCTAGCGTCAACTTCACAGCCAAGGCCGAGAGAACACGTATCGCATTCTTCAGTGTGTATTACAATACAAGAACCGATGACATGAGCTCACTATGTGGTCCGGTGGTGGACGATGTTCGGGTGTGGTTTTCAGGATCCAGAAGAAATGTGGTCCGAGTATTGTTAGGGTTTGGACTTACTTTTTGGGCTTACCTTCTGGTTTTGGTTTAGGGTTGGGTAACTAAGTAAAGCGTAAAGCTATGCGCTCATCATATATGAGGTTTTAAGGCAAAAAAAAAAAAAAAAAAAAAAAAAAGGGCTAAGGCATGGTAACTGCTGGCAAAGGCATCAATATCCCGTGTTTCTATTGTAATTTTATGTTCTTTCTGAGTTCTGCTTTGAGAAATGAGAATGCCTTATGTTGCATTTTCAGATTTTCTTTGTATTACAGTGAAGTTAACCCAAAGATTTTCTAGAATCCAATACTTTTACGCTATGGCAAACGTAAAACCTAGTCGTTTATCATCATGCCCAATAAAGGTATTTCCGTCGCTTTCATGATCCTATTTATATATTTAGTTGTGGCTTAGAACGTAATGGATCATTTGACTATTTGGAGGTAAGATCTCGAGATCCACCATTTTATGATCCACATGGTAGAAAATTATTTGACATGGTTTGGAAAGCGTGCTACCGCTACATTTCTAATTTTGATTTTTTTTTTTTGGATTGATAAATTGTATTTTAATTTCACAAGTTTAGGTCAATTGAAAAACTCCTTTTAGAGCGGTTATCAATAGATTTTCCTTTTTTTTTTTTTTCAAATTGTCGTCAAGAATAATCATCGAATAGATGGTATATATGTTTGTCCAAATTTTAAAAGTTATGAATTGAAAAAAATTTAAGTGTTTAATTTTTTTAGATGAATTAAATAAAAACATTGACAAACTAAAGTTACAGTAAAATTTTAAATAAATAAATATATCTGTAGCATGTAATTAATTTTATCATTTTATATCGGTTGGATAAGTCTTAACTTAGGCGGATTTAAGTCTTATGATAAGAGGAGACATTAAAATTTTTAAGATCTTTAAAATCTTCAGTTTAATGTAGTAATGATTTAAATATTCTACTTAAATTTAGTAGTATATAGTTGGGAAAAAATCGCGATTTTATGATAGATGTCAAAAGGATTAAGTTTGTCACCAAACAATGTTTCGTTGCTTTGCAAAAAATTATTATTGATTTTATTTTATGTTTATTTTGTAAAAAATTAATTGATCAACGGAAATTAATTTATTGATCAAGTAAAAAATAAGTCTTTTTTTTTAGTTTTTTTATGCTTATCAAAAAGGAAAAGTAATTTTTAAAAAATGATTATTTATAAGTATGATTATTTATCAAATTTGTGAGTATTGTTTGATTCAAATCGAATCATAAATATTATTTTTTTAAAGTTTAAGTTTAATTTGTTTCGACTCAAAATATTATTATATTAAAAAAAATATTTTGTTTAATTTTAATTAGAATATTAAAAGTTTTTGTATTTTAATTTTAAATATTTATATTTTTATATTATTAAACATAAATATTTTAATATATCAAAAATAAATAGTATTATATAATAATATTATTATTTTGATAATATACATATTTTATTATTTTTAATAACAATAAAGAGTATTAATAATATTAAAAATAAATATTATTATTTAACATTATTAAATTATATTAAAATATTAATTGATAGTATTTTAATAATAAACATTAATTAGAAAATAGTATTTTTATTATTTTAATAACTAATATTGTTTAATATGAATATTTTTAACAATTTCTTAAAATTTTAATTTAAAATATATTATTTTTTATATTTTATTGACCGATGTATTTATATTACTATTTTAATAATAAATATAAATAAATAATATATTTGTTATGATTTATAATAGATATTTTCAATATAAAATATAACTATATTAATAATATAAATATATTTAATAATTTAATAATTTAATAATTTAATAATAAATATTACTATTTTAATATTATTATATTAATAAAAATATTTGTAGAATAATAATATTATTTTAAATATTAATATGAATGTAAATATTAAATAATTTTGTTTTAAGTGTTTAATATTATAATATTTTTAATATCAACGTTTTAAGTGAATTCCTCCTCTAAATATTATTATCAAATTTTAATTATTTTTATATTAATAATTTTAATAATAAATACTTTTTAATATATTAATAGTTATGTCAATATTATTTGAAAAAACAAGTTTTTTTAAAAAAAATTAAACAACAAAAAATATTTTTCATTGATCCATTCCATAATAAAAAATCCTTACTTTTCCAAAAAATATAAATATTTTTTAAAAATATTTTTTGAAAGTCAAAATTTTAAAAATAAATTAAATATAATTATTAATCAAAAAAATGCATAGACCATGTGCAGAGATTTCTTTCTTTTTTTTTTTTTTTTTGGTTTAAAGAAATCTTAGAAATTTAAGAGTGAGAGTCAGACCAATTGCATTTATTTACATAAATGAAAAAGAAAAAAATTATTAAAGTGAAAAAAATATTACTGCTTCTATTCACATTTTTTTCAAATTTATTTGTAAATAAAATTATTTAATTATTTTTTTCTCTTTATAGCATTTTATTTTTAAATTTTTGGATATATAAATTTGAAAATTTTTAAGAGTTGTTGGATTTACAAATTTAAAAATTCTTAAAAGTCTCTTTATATTATATTTGAAAGCTTTTAAAAACTTTCAAATTTATATATTCAAAAACTTAAAAATTTGTGTAAGATATTATTTTCAATTGAAATATTTTTTGAAATAACTTTTTTTAATTATCAAAACTAAAAATTTGATAAGTTATAAAATTTATTGAAAATGTACATCTAAAAATTTTAAAATTAAAGTGAAAAAATATAAATAGTTTTATCTAAAAAAATTCGAAAAAAAAATTGGATGTAAAAAGAAAAAAATGATGGAGTGTTTAGAACCTCTCCTGCCAGTATTTCTAACTTAGACCGATTTGACAAAAACACCCTTGAGTTGGCTCAAACGGACCTTTCCCGTTTTATTATAAATGGCACCGGGCAGAAGCAACGAGGGAGAGCAGGAGCAAGGAAATGAAAGAAAACGAAAGGGCGGGAGGGTTTTGATTTTCCTTTTCCCTCTCCTCTCTCTCTAAGATGGACAGCCACGTGGAGTCCACCGCCGCCACCGCTGGCGCCACCCCGCACTCTCCGCCTCTTGATCCTCTTGATTTCATTCCCGTCGGATCCCTAGAAGAGGAGATTCCATCTCCGCTGTCCGAAGAGTACCACGACCACGATCACGATCACGATCACGGTCATGACCATGAGCACGAGCAAGGTCAAGATCACGATCAGAATCAAAATCACGAGAACTCGTCGGCTACTGGTGTCCTTACCGATGATCTCAAAATCAAGATCATTAAGCAGGCAAGGGCACAAAATTTTTCTCTCTTGCGTTCTTGCAATGTAAACCCTAGAATGTGTTCTGCCTCTTTTATTGTTTTCTTTTCCTTTTCCTTTTCCTTGTTCTTGTTTTCTTTTATATGAACTTTGTTGATAATTATTCATATATTTATGTTTGTGTGTGTTTTTATAGGTGGAGTATTATTTTAGCGATGAAAATTTGCTGATGGATAAGTATATGAAGACTATGATTAAGAAGAACAAAGAAGGGCTTGGTAAGTAATTAAAACTCTCGCTTGGTTGGTGTTTTTTTTTTTTTTTTTTTTAAAGTTTTAGCATTAAGAATTTATCATGCTTATACGGTTATACCATCCGCACACAATATATTGACGGCTGATTTCACGTTTGACCATATCTAAAACCTGAATTTGAGTATATATAGATTGAGCTATTATATTTTAACTTGTAGCCTTGATTAGTTTTTCTGTGTGGATACGAGCGGTGACTCAATTTTTAGTTGCTTTCACTGGATTGAAGATTTAAGAATATGGACTTGGATTTGGTTTTTAAATAGCTTATGGATGAACATAAATGATGTATTCAAATTGGTTTGAGACGATGAATTTGAGAAATAATAACTACATATAGGTATTTTGAACCCACGAATTGGTTAAGATTAATTAAATTTGTAGTTGAGTGAAACCCTGAGAACCCTATTTGAGTTTTCCTGTAAATGGTAGTTGATCATAGAATTCCTGTACAACTGACATGGAAAGGGCTTGGTAATTGCATCCAAATTTCTCTTCCTGTTATTTCTCTTGACAGTATTTGTTTGTTTAAATGGAAGAACGGGGCAGTGTCTTCTCTTTGCCATATATTTTCTCTCTTGTTTACTCTTCCATTTAGTTGTGAGGAATTCTAGTGTATATATTATTTCTGAAATTTTGAAATTTCCATAGAATAAATCTTAACTGATGAGGATGCCCTTCTCTTTAACAGAAAAGATCCGATCTTTAACTTTCTTTTTTTTTTATTCTATTTTATAAGCAATAAATGTAGAGAGATACTCTTGGATAGAGTTGATGAAGGTGATGAAGTACAGCAGGTACTTATGAAAGGTCTAAGCCTCGATGTTTTCCTGGTGCAGCCAATTTGTGCTGTGCCGAACATCTGATGGATGGTTTGACCGAATGAATGGGCAACTTACTGCTTTCTGATTCATTCTCTATTCTTATAACTCCAATTTGACATCTCCCAACAAATGATTTTTGCCAAAATTGGTCAAATAGACCTATTATTTGAGCATTACCCCTCTTTTCTATTCCCCCTTTGTATATTATTCTGGTAATTAGGCTTAGTAACAAAATTAGTTCATCAATTTCTAGCAAAATGGATATACACTTGGATCTCATTTTCTCATTCCTCCTTGTCACTATACCTGGAAAATGAAGTGAAACCTTTCATTTGTAGTTTATGAAGATTTTTTTTTTGTTGTAAGTTAATTTCTGAAATGTCAAGGACAGTTTTTATCCACTTTCAATGTTTCCTGTCTGTGCAAATTATTTCTGTTTATGAATGTTTGTTTTATGGATAATCCCAGTGATTAGTCGAAAATTGTGCAAGGTGGAGTATTCCCCTTCATTTTCTAGAATTGTTGTATGACTACTGTTTTTATTTGAAGCCCTGTTTACTTGATTGTTATCATAGGGTTAACTGCCTTCACTTTTCAGATGGAAATATTTATTTTTATTATCTTGATATCTTGTTATTTACATGCAAATGACTTTTTTCTTTTCCTTGCAGTTCCTATTTCAACAATTGCTTCTTTTAAGAAAATGAAAAAACTCACTAGAAGTTATCCATCAATAGTTGCCGCCCTCAAAGAGTCTTCCCTACTTGTATGTTTCTAGACTCTCACTCCTTATAAAGTTTGGCACTTTTCTTATGGTGCAACTGCAATATGGATCTGAGTTGCTTATGTTATAGGGATTTCATATGCCACAATCTCAATTCAGACAGATTTAGAAAATTTTGTTTCTTTCTGGTACGTAATTTCTAGTTTTATTGAAACCTCTCAGGTTGTGAGTTCCGATGGGAAAAAGGTAAAGCGCTGCAATCCTTTTTCACTCATTGAGGTCAGGGACCCAAAGGTATTTCTCTTATGGTACTTAATGGCTTCACTCTTGCATTCATATCTTTAATTTTGTGGCATCTAATTTGTGGACCCTAGTTATTTACTGTTTTGGTAGAAAATCTTCCGGAGGATCATTCAGTGGAGAACATTCGGAGGATATTTGGTGAAGTTGGACAGTATGCCTTTTTCTTATAAGAGAAAACATGCTCATTCTTTCTTCTTGCTGTTGGGTATGAAGTTTATGCTTCCTTCTTTTAAATGATTGTAGATTTCTTTCAAATTTTCAGCATAAAGAACATATCTGTCCGTGATCCTCATGCTGTGGAAGAGTCAAAGAAAAGTGGTAGGGCAGATATCTTGATCAGTAGTAAGGTGTGGAACTGGTTTATAGCTTGGCAGATACTATGTTGTGTATTTTGTCATTTTGTATTCCTTTCTCCTTCTCGTTCTCTTGTCAATTCCTCATTTTAATAATCTAACCGGTTATTGTATTGAGATGATATGCTTTCCAACAAAGCATTGAAATAAATCATCACCAAACAGTATTTTGTGTTATTTGTGGTTTCTTTGTAACAAATCAGTTGGCAGATTAGCATGCATTGTTGTTGTGGGACTTGGTTACGTATCATCTCTAGAATTTATGATGTTTAACTTCTGCGAGCGTCTTTAGTTTGCTGTAGATTGCAAGCATGACACGACTTTCTTTATAAGAGCTATCTACAGCAGATTTCTTGCTATGTTGTCATCATGTGTTAAAACCCTTTGTCTTTGAAACATACAGTGTCCTTAACTCTTGTAAGGAGCCTTTCGGAAATGGATTAGAGAAAAAAATTCTCAATTCTTGTTAAAAATCTTCATAGGAAGCGATTATGAAAATTATATATGGTTTATTTGGGGCATAAGTGGTTTACTGGGCAAAATGTAAGCTTAATGATTGTTTTGCTATTTTACACCACTAGACTTTTAGGTTAAGATTAATTTGCAGATGAACAATACCTGGTAAAAGATGTGCAAGCTATAACTATAGAACACCGTTGAGTATATTTGGGTTGGTCTAACCTGTGTCCCTTTTGAAGTTTGTTTTGATGCAGAATAGCAATGTTGCTTGTATACTGGTTGTAACAGTACTTTCTTTACATGTATACAACCTTGTTTACGATATGCATAATTTCCTGGTTTCTGAATCTAGTTACATGCTCTAGTGGAGTATGAGACAGTGGAGGCTGCTGAAAAAGCTGTAAGTGTCAAGGAAATCTTTAATCCACTGTATTGTTTTTGGATAATTATAATCCACTTTAACTGATATCATAATTAATTGATTAAATGATTTTGAGCACTTCTCTGGTTATTGGATCAGGTGATTACTTTGAATGATGAACAAGACTGGAGAAATGGCATCCGGGTTAAGCTTCTTAAACGAATGGTAATAGCTCCTGTTTCTTTACCTTTATGACTTTAGTAATAATCTAGTATTGATGTTAGTTCCCTTGTTATAGGGCAAGTATGGGCAGCGAAGGCAAACCCGGAGGGGATCTGATCCTGAAAAGAATAGCAATGCTAGAGCATCTGATCAAACAGGAGATGAGGAGAATAATACCTCAAGTGAGCATCATGAAGATATACCGGATGAGGAGGTAGGCTCTATGTTCTTTTTCATATGAATTCTGATATAACAAGTTAGAGCATTTTGGGCTGAACTACTTATACTAACAACACTTCATCCTATTATTTATTTATTTATTATTAACAAAAATAACAGCATTTTCTCTGTAAGTGTAAGTAATATGTGATGAATTAGAAGGGCATAAAACATTATTTTATTTTACTTTTTTGAGACAGTCAAAGTAAATGGATGTTGGACCTCTTGTTTTGTTTTCATGTTTTCGCGAATTTTGGCAGACTGAGGTGGTACTAGGCAAGGCATTCAGAATTATTCCCTTAGATTGTAGATCATAGATGCATTCATGAAACAAGGAAAAAAAAAAGAGTAATAATGAGAGGAGCAACTAATATATGATAAAATTGCACCCAAAAAAAATTAATATATGATAAAAAGGAAAAGTTTGTTTATCTTTTTAAATATTTTTTTGCTTCTACATTTTAGGACGGGGAGCATTTGTCCAAGGACAAAAACGTGCATCAGTTTAGAAACAAAGGACGAGCAAGGAGACAGAAAACTCGTGGTACCAACGGACCTGATATTAGAATAATCACAGCTCTAGCTTTTTGTATTTTCTTTCTTTCCCTATTTTACTAGAGTTTATTTTAAAATATTATGTTATACAGGCCATGGAACTACATCCTCTACTCATGCCGTTGAACCATCAAAGCCACCGCCGGGCCCTAGAATGCCTGATGGAACCAGGGGATTCACAATGGGACGTGGACGACCCCTAGTTTCTAAACAGAACAAGTGACTTAGTGTTGGTTGTTGTGCATTATACAGATGTGGAAGCCGGAAGCGGGGCTTAGTTTGAAATCCAATGGATTGTTGACTTACTGTTTGCTTTATCTTTAAAAAACTCTTGGCATTCCAATGATGATATACGACCTAAATTGCTCATGTTTTGGATTATGTTTGTACAAATTAAGTATGGCCAATTATGTGCTTGTGTTTATGCTTGTAAGTCAAGTGTTTAATGAGTTCTAGGAGTTATGCAAATGACATATGGCCACAACAACTTTATATATAAAAAGATAATAATTTATAAATTATTTTTGTTGCTTAATTTTTCCTTAGCTTATCAAATTCTTGAAAGTCATTTTCTAGGAATCGAAGACCGGTCATGTGAAAGATTTTTAGGCTCTCAATTATGGAATTTATGTTTGACTACTTTAAATACAAATCTTTCATTAATTTATACATTAATTTTCAATTATAATAATTGAGCTTGGGCTTGACTGAGTGGTCCTTTTTGGATCGTATCAGTTAATATTACGTCTAGTGTTACGAGTTATGCTTTCTTTTAACTAAGTAATAGGTTCCGCGGTATTTGAATGGATACTTTCATTCAAATCAGTTAAAAATAATTTTATTTTTAATAAAAAATTAAGAAGTCATAAGTCAATTTTAAGTATATACAATGACATATTGAGAAAAAATAAAAATACATCAAAGTGACCTAAGCATTTTTCGTATATATAAAAAAATATTTTTTATTAATATAAAAAAAATATTAAATATTTTCATCATCATCGAGTTAAAGAGATAACTCTAGATAAATAATTTAATACATACTTTAATCAGCTTCGCTCAATAATATATCGATTGTTCATTTTGTTCATTCCCTGTAAAAAGTAAATGAAATTTTATAATTGTTCTATTTATAATTATGATAATGCTTGAAATGAGGATATTTTTTTTGCACATAAAATCTTTCATCTTGATATTTTTATGCGATTATGAGTGAGTGATTTATGACAATCTATGCCCAATCATATTCTTATACAAGGATGGATCATGAGATCTAGCTGGCTAACCCATTTACCCGATCTTAATCCAACCTGGCCCGCGTGAAATCAATAGATTCAAACGTTCCTTCACGCTCTAGAGGGCGTTTTTCGATGTTTACAAAGGGTTCTTTAAGCACTGTTTCCTTTTTCTTTTTTTTTTTTCAGTATCCACCGTTTGAAAAACCCCTAGTTCTGCTTTTGTTTCTTTGTCTTTTTTTTTCTTTTTCATCTATCAGTTTCTGTTATTCACTTGAACATACATTATTCTCGAATGGCCTCAGATCTCTCCAAGTGAATTTTTCGATCTCATTTTCGTGCTTTCGTTTGGGTTCTAAATAGTCATGCGATCTCATTCCTCGTCTTCAAATCTACACCATTTCTCTTCTTGGGGACTCTCTCGTTCCCCAAAACGACGCAACCTTTTTTCCGTTTCATCTCGCGTCCCACTCCTATCATCTCCTCGGCTTTGCGGTGCTGTTGCTTCAAATTTCTACCCTCCAATCAAGTTAAATTTGCAACGATCAAAAAATTCACATAAGCGAAGTCGACGATATCGACAGGACGTCGTTGAAGTTAACGCCGCCGAGGATGTAAGTAATAACATTTACTTTTCAATATGGTTTCTGAAATGAATTTTGTAATTTTATGATTGGGTTTTTGTTATATTTTTTTTAGGACTCAGTGGGAATATCTTCGTTTGATGACTGGGTTGTTGACGATTCATTGGCTACATATATGTTTTCTTCATCAAGTGATGGGGAAGATAGCGATGGGGAAATCGTATTGAACCCTTTGAGTGAGGCGGATTTGCGTCCTGTCAAGGTCTCAACCGACGAAGCCATAACCTTGGCGGCCCATCGGCTTACTTTAATTGGAAGAGACCAAAATAGACACAGGCAAGCTCTTTTAGGAATTTTCTGATCCATTGGGTAAATGAGAATCAATTAATTAGAGGGAGTCTTCATAAATTAATACCCTTTTCAAGGCTTTTGTTTAAAGTTTGCCTAAAATAATTTCAGGACGTACCATGGACTGTTAATCAACTTGGCCCTTATAATTTTCCTGACAATGGTTCTTTTACTCGTGGATTGGTGTGGATGGAAAATTGTCAGGCTACCCTTGGCGCCATTCTACTTGACCTCCCCATTTTTCATATCTTTGATCTTAGCTTCATGTGCAGGTTATATTTGTGTCCCCTTGCTTAAAACTCTTAAGCTCCATCAAATACTTTGGAAAGAAGGGCCTGCTAGACATTCCAGAAAGAAGAGTACCCCAACGATGGGTGGTCTTTTTTTTATACCAGCTGGTATATCTGTTGCGAAATTCTTAACTGGTTTTTCTTCTATTGAAGTTTCTGCTGCAGCAGCAGCAACCTTAGCATTTGCTGCAATTGGACTACTTGATGACGTCTTAAGTTTCGACAGGCAACACAACAGTGGCTTATCTCCATGGTTAAGACTACTTTTTGAGGTATTTACGTTTTTGCTTTCCTCTTTCATTGATCATATATGCTTCATCCTTGTTGCCTTTGGAGTTCATTCTTACCCCAGTTATTGCAATAATCTCAAAGCTTTTGTCATTGCAGGCAACTGTTGGGATTTGGTTTTCATTTTGGTTGGATGCTACAAATTTTTCGTCACCCTATGGCATGTATATCTTCTTGTAACTAATCTGATCACATTTATCTGATGGTAACTCACATATCTATTCTTGTGTCCGAAAAATTTTGACAAAGTACCAAGTTTCCTTTACTTTTCATTTGAAAACATATTTAGGGTCTACTGATCTTATCGAAGTTCTTTGATTGAAAGCCATGCTATACATTCCCTTGTTCTTTTATATGAGGTAATAAACCTTTTTCTTTCTTAACATAAAAAAGAACACAATTTTAAAAATAGGATACCTTCTATTGAAGGAGAATTATCATTATAAGAACTTTTAGGGGGAATTGTAGCACTTAGGTGGATGAATATCAATATGTGTGTGTGAGCTAATTTTTTTTCTTTATTGAATTCTTATTTTTTGTGGAACACCATTTTAAAAATTACAGATTACCCTCTTTCTTGTCAAGCAATGTGTCTTTAATGAATGATTGCTTGATTAATAAAACTACAATTAGGTCTTTCAAATTTCTGCTCCCATTGCTTCAATTCCCACTTTAGACTATCTTTTAAAGACTATACTTGTTGATTGTTATCTTTTTTGCTCAAATGATTCTTAGGTTTTCACTCAGACCATTTCATAACTTTTTAATGCAGGAAAACGCTGGTTCCTCTACCTGCACCACTGGGCCTTGTGTACTTGGGAAAATTTTACCTATTGTTGACTTCATTTTGTTTTGTTTCCATGGGAAATGGGGTTAACTTAACCGATGGTCTTGATGGTCTGGCTGGAGGGACTGCTGCATTAGCTTTTATTGGAATGTCAATTGCGGTGCTTCCAATATGCCCTGGTTAGTATAGATTTCTTTTGAACAAGCAATATAACTAGTTGGAAGAAAGGAGGGAAATTTTCTCTATTCTCTGGAAATGGCCACATAGCTTTTTCGAGATCCCATCTACATTTGTTTTGTCTGTTTACACTTTCTCTATTGGCCATTGCAACAACAACATTTTCAAAGTCACACCATTGCTCTTTCGAGTTGCATCATTTGGATGATGTATGCAAGACAGTGATTTAAAGCTCACTCCTGGAATTTTGTTGAAGTTATCATAATATGAAAATGTTATTGTTGCAATGGCCAATTCATTCATCTAAATTTAATCTTTTATGCTTTTACAAGTATAATCTTTCATTGCTAAATGTTTTTTTTTCCAATCCCAATCAGAACTTGCTATATTTGGAGCATCAATGGCAGGGGCCTGTGTTGGTTTTCTTTTGCACAACGGGTATAAAGCATCTGTATTTATGGGTGATACTGGATCCTTGGCCCTTGGTGGCGCATTAGCTGCAATGGCTGCTTGTACTGGAATGTTCTTTCCCTTATTCATTTCATCTGGTTTCTTCATTTTGGAAGCATCATCAGTTCTCATGCAGGTATGCTACGTCAGTTATTGTCTGATTCTTTTCCAATTTTGTTGAAAAATTAGCAAATACAAATGTGTAAAATTTGCATCAGGATATGTTAATTTGAGTCACATCTAATAATTAATTCACAAATCAGTATTTCTTCCAACCATGTATTATCAAGCTGCCCTCAGTTACCCCCAACTTTTACCTAATGGTTGCTCATGCTTTTACTTTCCTTTGATTTCGTAGTCATTAATAAGATATTAACTTGAAGTGCGTGGTTCATTGATGTACTATCAATGTACTATTGGGTCATAGTTTCAAGTTTGTATATGATATATCATTGCCGCAATGAGAGATGAATGTCTGATAAAAATTTTCTTTAGACTGCATGCCGTTTTCTTAGGCATGATAACTGATGATGTATTTGTTAGGTGTTATACTTTAAAACAACAAAGCACTTGTGGGGAAGTGGGTGCCGCCTGTTTAGAATGGCTCCTTTGCATCATCATCTGGAGTTATGCGGGCACAAAGAACCAATTATTGTTGCTGGCGCATATGTTGTATCCTGTGTTTTTGCTTTATTTGCTGGTTACATAGGCCTTATATCAGCATAACCTCTGTGATCATTTTCACCCATCTCCATTTTGTTCCCCTAGTTATGGTCATAAAAGGTTTTCTTTTTTCCCACTATTTCTGAATCTTTTATTTGATCTTCCCGTTTAATGTTGATACCATTATGCTTTAGAAGATTTATAATAGAGTGGTAGAAATTCATGTATCCATGCAATTTTGATATACATTTTTTACCAACAGAAGCTGAATGTAACATGAGCCTGCGAGTCTATGTACACAGCAGTTTAATTACATTGGATGAATGAGAGTTTACAGTGATAGAAGTTTTTTGGTTCATGTAGTTGAGGTCATCCTCTAGTTATAAGTCTTTTTTTTAAATCCAAGAGGGCATATTCCTTATTCTTTTTCTCATTTTGACTCCAATTATTTGTTTTTTGATACTCGAACTTGGCTAGAATCAGCATTTTTGTGATAATTCATTTTGTAGATTGTGGATATCACTCCTTGGCACATAACAGCAGAAGTAGATCTACTGCCATAGTTGTGTTTTTCTTGGTTGTGGTAATACTGTTTGATGTGCCTCCCTAAACATGTCATGAAAATGCAGAATATCACCATCATATTAATTCTTACTTGTCTGGAACATATATTTGATGCAGTTGTTATGTAATGGCCTTTTCCTTAATATTGTGCTTCATGTTAATTGTTTCATGTGAGATATTCATTTTATTCTACTTAAAAGCAGAAAGGATTTTCATTCTTTGAAACACCATTTTACAAATGGTTGGATTTTAACGGTCTATAATATTCATTAATCACGAAATTATTTTTTAATTAAAATATTTTTTGGTATATTTTCATATAAAACCCATATTTTATGGTCTAGATTTTTATTATGGATTCACAAACCTTGAAAAATGTTTGAACCCAGAATAAAAAAATAAAACCCTTGAGGTTTGTTTTGACCTAGAAAATGAACCCAAAGGAAAAAAAAGAAATGACACAATATTGGTATTTGTAAGAAGCGTTATATTATTTTACATTTTAAAATTGTTATTTATTTTAATTTTTACTCAAATTAACACAAAAATAATTTTATTTTATTTCTTTCTTTCACGATTTAATTTAATCAAATTGATATTTTATTTCTTAATTTAAAAAATATAAAAATGCTATCAAATCAGTTTCAACATTCAATGGTATGCGGCGGAAGCTTCTAAAAAAGCGTATTGGAATTAACATTTTTCGGCTGAGTGATAAAAAGTCTTAATTTAGACACGAGGGCTTGGATTCGAATCAACAACCACTTTTTCCACTCCCTAAGAAGCAAAAAAAAAAAAAGAAAAATCTAGTTTTAATATTAACTAAAAGCTTAAGTTTACCAAAATTTAAAAAATTAAAATTAAATTTAATTTATTTATTTAACCATCTTTAAAACGTAATTTTAACATTTTTAAAATTAAAATTAAAATAGTTATAGTTTTTTCCTCTATTTGGAAACTATTATCTTTTTTTATAAGAAAAAACATAGAGGCTACGACTTTCAAAGATACTTGAAAAAGCCCAATTTCTTTTTTTTTTCAGAAGACTAGAAAAGGGCAAAAGCGTTAAAAATATAAAATAAAATAAACAAATGTTTCTTTCTTTCTTTCTTTCTTTTTATTGTATTATATTTTTCAAAACAAAACCCTTCTTCGGATTTGTCTGGACCGAAATATGCTGAAATGCCACGTCAACGCCTACGTATCCCAGCTGTACCGCTATTTCTTCATCCCTTCGCCGTCCTATTTATCCCCCGCAAGCAACCTCCCTTCCCCGCCTGTTCTGTCCTTTCTTTTCTTATCTCTCGTTATCCGCCTCCCCTTTCTCGGCACAAAGTAGTTTATAGATGTAAAAACTAAAACCACATTTACATGAAACTCGTTGGATTCTGCTTCAGTCACCCGAATCTCCTTTTGTTTTTTGAAATAATTGAAATTTAAACTCGTATCCTCACTTCTTCCCCCCCCCCTTCTATTTAAACACTTTCTTCTTCGCTCATTTCCTTTCAAACCCAAATCATTCACTCACATTTCAAATAAAAGATGAACTCTTTTCTATCCTTTCTTTCTCCTTTGATTCCAGTTTTGGTCACCCTTTTTGTTCTTCTCCTTTTCTTAGAACAGATCTCTTACTTACGAAAAAAGCGAAATGTCCCTGGTCCAAACATGGTTCTTCCTTTCTTGGGCAACGTAATTTCTCTAGTCAGAAAACCGACAAGGTTCTGGGAAGTTCAATCTGAGTTGTCAGCTTCTGTTGGGTTTTCCGTTAATTATGTTATCGGGCGGTTCATCGTCTTTGTCCGAAACACTGAACTTTCTCACCTTATCTTTGCCAACGTTCGGCCCGATGCTTTTTGGCTGGTGGGACATCCCTTTGGTAAAAAACTCTTCGGCGAGCATAACATGATCTATATGTTCGGACAGGATCACAAAGCTCTCCGCCGTCAGATCGCTCCTAACTTCACTCCCAGAGCGCTGTCAACCTACACCGCGTTGCAGCAGATCATTATTCTCGAACATTTAAAATCTTGGGAGCGTCTTTCCTCAGAACCTCCCGAGCAGCCGATTTCTCTCCGTCTTTTAGTTCGCGACTTGAATCTGGAAACTTCTCAAACCGTTTTCGTTGGTAGGTATTTATCTCGTGAAGCTCGCGAGAAATTCAGGGTAGATTATAATCTTTTCAATACGGGTTTAATGAAGCTCCCATTTGATCTCCCCGGTTTCGCGTTCCGAAACGCCAGGCTGGCAGTTGAGCGGTTGGTCAAAACCCTTACTGATTGCGCTGCTCAAAGCAAAAAGAGAATGTTCGACAGAGACGAGCCTTCTTGTTTAATCGATTTCTGGATGCAAGAAACAGTTAGAGAAATCGTAGAGTCCAAAACAGCGCCGCTTCACTCTACCGATGAAGAAATCGGCAGTTACCTCTTTGATTTCCTCTTCGCCTCTCAAGATGCCTCCACCTCATCACTCCTCTGGGCGGTGTCCCTCCTCGATTCTCATCCCGATGCTCTCCGGAAAGTTCGGGAGGAAGTTTCGAGAATATGGTCGCCGGAATCGGATATTTTAATAAGCGCCGAGCAATTGAGGGAAATGAAGTACACGCAAGCGGTTGCGCGTGAGGTTGTCAGATATAGGCCGCCGGCGACGTTAGTGCCGCACATTGCGAGGGAGGATTTCCCGTTGACCGACTCGTACACGATCCCGAAGGGCTCTATTGTTTTCCCATCAGTTTACGAGTCGTCCTTCCAAGGGTTCCCGGAGGCGGACCGGTTCGAACCGGAGCGGTTCTCGGAGGAGAGGCACGAGGAAGTGATTTTCAAAAGGAATTACCTGGCATTTGGTGCTGGGCCCCACCAATGCGTTGGCCAAAGGTACGCGTTGAATCATCTAGTGCTTTTCATTGCCATGTTCGTTACTTTGCTCGATTTCAAGAGGCACCGAACCGACGGCTGTGATGAAATCATGTACTGTCCGACCATCTGTCCTAAAGACGGATGCAAAGTTTTCCTGTCTAGGCGTTGTTCACGTTATCCTAATCTCTCTCTTAATTGACCAAAATGCCCTTCCTTGTTCTCTGTTTTCTTATCTCTTAAAACTAGGAATTGGTGTCCTGTGTTGTTCTTTCTCACGTCATTCAGGGGTGGAACAGTCAAACTTTGCTTTTTGTTTATGATTCTTTTGTGTGGTGTAATGTATAGAGAATTGATGGACGGTTCGGATTTTTTAAAATTTAAAGAAAAAATTTATGTTGGAGTCATTGATGAGGGTGTAAAATGGGACGGTGTTGAGGCGTCAAATAAAAAAAAATTTATTTTGGAATTCCAATTAGATTGCCCTTTGTTTCTCGTTGTGAATTGTATATTACAATTTCCATGGAATGGCCTTGTCTTATTTGGGTATCAAGTGAAAACAGTGAGTTTAGGATAAGCTGTTCATGCAATATATAAAAGAAGCACGTTGATATGTTCAAAAGAGAAATCCTTGATAACATTAATTTATTATCACCATATTGGTGTGGTTGGTAACTGACAGCTTACTCAAATAATTGAGGTATGTGAGCATTATCTTTCGAAGCCAAACTGGCATTTTTGGGAAAAATGTAGGAATTCTAAAGTTTGAAAATGTTTCCTTCATCTCGCCTGCTTGTTCAATGCTCATATTCTCGACTTCAACTCATGTTTATTTTTTAAATTACAAGTAAAAAAAAGTGCTAAATATTGTATTGCAGACAACCTATGTTTTAAGGTTACAACTATAGTCTTTAAACCGTAAGTCTTGTTTTGTTTTTGTTGCTTTGTGCAATAGCCTCGAAAGAAATCAAAAGAACAAAAAAAAAAAGACTAATTGAAGGTGTTATATTATAAATTTATATACCATAAGTTTGAAAGGGTGAAAACTGATAAGGTATACTTTTATGTGCTTGAATTTAAATTGACTCATGCAGGATGCATTATCCCATAATTAGTAGCGATTTCATCATTGACAACCAACACAACCATACATTACATTTTGCCAACTAATAATGCTAGTAGCCAGTATATATATTTAAACCAATATAAAAAAAAATGACAATAAAATTTTAAAAAAAATGCAGGATTAGTTAAATATACCGATGCGGTCAATGTACGGTCAATGAGGGCCCATGAAATGACAAGGATAAGGCCTTGAGATTGATTACTAGGTCTCAAGTTCAAAAATCACAGTGAGCTTCATTCAATTTTATGTTAATTTATTTAATTTATTCTTGTAATATATTTTAAGTATTTTAATTTAATTTTAAATCATTAAAATTAAGATTCAAAATTCTATCAAACCATATTACATCATTTGTATTGAATAATTTTTTATTGAATTGTAATATAATAATCACATCATATCATAAGAGAGATTGATCTGATTTTTTTTTTAATCAATTAATTTTAATTAGGGGTGTAAATGATACATCAATACTCGTAAGTTATTCGGGTTCGATTCGAAGAAAACTCGAATTCAGTTCGATTATTATCGAGTCGAGCTCGAACTCGAGTAGTTGGACTTATCGATCGAGTCGAATTCGAGTATTCTTATATTCAAGTCGAGTAGCTCATAAACCTAATTGAACATTTATATTTAAATATATTTTTATTATTTTAATTAATAAACTATTTCAAATTCGAGTTCGAGCATAAATAATCGAACTCTTATCGAATATACGAATCGAGCTTATTTTTATATATTAATCAAGCTTAATCGAGCAAGCTCGAGTAGTTCGAATTCGATCACGAATCGAACTCGAACTTAAAAAATAAAACTCGATCGAGTTCGAACCGAATATCAAATCGCGAGTTGTGAGTTGAGTCGAGTTCAAATTTTTTACTGTATCAACTCGACACGATTTGATTACACCCCTAATCTCAACGTTGCACTAATATTATTGCAAAGATAAGACGTGAAATATTCCACTTTCAACATTTAAGACGCCTGAAGGCTTGAATTTTGTCTTTGCTTCTAGAACCAAATCAAACGCTTGAAGATCAAACCACAATTCGAGTTAGAAATTTGTTTTTAATAACCTAAAATCTAAAATTTTAAAAATTTTGTAAGACTTTGATGTCGCTATGATATAGGAATTAATTTTAGATTTTGAAATTAACGTTTAAAGATTAGGGACTATGCGGACTTTGAGAGGGACAAGTTGCCTAAAAGGTGACGCAATGAAGCTGTACTGTAGCATTTTAATTTCAATAATATATTGGTTCTCCAAGCAAAATATTGTTAGTTGAACAAACAAAACAATTTCAAATTGCAAACAATCACCAATCACGGGAAAAAACTAACTGCGGCTGCCTAATTTTCTGGTCCAGACTATCTATTTGGAGATTCGCATTTGGCAAATCGAACTTTAACCAAAGCCAAAATCTGCAGCCGATTGGTCAAAAAAGTTGTATTGTTTCTGAATTCTGAAAAGATTAGTTTGAATGGTAATCACATGTTGATGTATGCTTGACACATTTCAACAGCGCAGAAGTTTCATGGTTCCTTGGGAGAAAATGATATGACTTTCACCGATTAGACTTTTTTTACTACGCCAAGTCTATAAGAAACAAGAAAATCTTGAAACCTGTTACTACTACAGTACTACTTACTTCTCTGATCCTTGAACGGTTTTTTTAATCAAATCCCACGAATTTGGCCCACCTAAATTCTTCAGGCAAAGCTGCAGAAGAGGCATACTGTCATTCAGAACTCAGAAGCTCGTGCCGGTTTGAGCATAACAAGAGACAGCTCCATGCTTTCAAGGCTCCCATCATCTGACCTCTTGTTGTTCTTTGATGTCGTTGCCTTCCTGCTAGGAAAAACACAAAGCAACAAAAACAAATAAACGACACTTATAACTTCATTGTTGAACTTATGAAGAAAACTGGAAAATAAAAAATGTACAACTTACAATACGGTAGAGTCTGTTTTCGTTAATACATAATCAACCATCCAGGTGGATTACGTTGGAAATAATGATTCAAATTTCATAAAATTTTATTTATATTTTTTGAGATAAATTAGATATTGCTAGCTGCACATAAAAATTTATAAGAAAAAATTTTTAAAAAAAATTATTTAATAGATTAGTTAGTATGTTTATAAATAATGTATGAAAAAAATATTAAAAAATTTACAATATTTTATTTGATAAACACCTCATAGGACATTAGAAGATTGTGAGTGTTTGTATTTTTATATGGTGAATGGATTAAAGAAGAATGAAATGATTTACATAAGTATGTTGAGTGCATGGGTATGTGTGAATATTTGTTAAAATTAAGAATATTTCATAAGACTATAAGAGAATAAAAGAATTTATAGGTATTAATTATAAGTGTTGATTAATAACATTACGTGTTTGTAATTTTATAAAACTAGTTGATTTTTTCTCATTTATCGACATAAAGCAGTTGGGTTGAACAACATTAAATTGTTGTCTCTTTCATAATTGATTGATTATATTTTTGCTAGCTTGATTGTTTAATTGGACTGGAGCCTTTTCACTTAATAATTAGAATCAGAGCTATCATAATTCTATCAACTAGTATTAGAGCAAAGGTTTGAGAAATAGCAAGAAATAAGCCTAGAAGAATTTGATTCAACATAATAGTTCAAATTTGTGTTTTTGAGAGATCAATTTGTATGAAACATAAATATACATAGAGAACATTGTTATGCGACTTTTATTGCTGGAAGAGTTAAACATGTCTAACTTTAAGATTGATAATTTTGATAAAATTTGAGTGAATGTGAAAATTGTTGGAATTAATGAACTTAAATCCCATAATAGATTTGTTTATGATTTTTGGAGATAGGTTAGATATTACTTGTGGGATAAAAATACTTATAATAAAAGAATTATAAGAGAAAAGTGATTTTTTATAAATAAATTAGTATGTTTGTAAATAGTAAAGTTTCAATAGGGTTAGATATGAAAAAAATATATAAAATAGTTGCAAATTTTATTATAAGATTAGAGGAGATTAAGAATATTCTTATGGGTGTGTATTATTATATGTTTCAATAGACTATATAAGAATGAGATGATCCATAGAAATATGGTAAGTCACATGAATATGTATATGTAATTGTTTTGGTTAAAAATACTTCATAGGACTATAAGAAAATGATAAGATTTATGAATATTGAATGTGAATGTTGATTAATATAATTGTATATTTGTAATTTTTTATAATTAGTGGATATTTTTTTTGTTCGTAAACATAAGTTGATTGAATTAAATCATATTAAATTATTGTATTTGGTAAATCATAAAAATGATCAAGATTTGGATAATTTGAAAGAAACTGGTACCACTATTTGGATGGACGTTGTGGGGGTGCTACAACCTTTTTCCATGCGTAATCGACTCTCGAACCTAACATCTATTTTGCATATCAGATTCAATCAAGTTGTCAATCACACCTAACAAAAAAGATTGATGACGACTCTCTTTCATCTATATATAGCGGTAAATCCACGGATCTATATGTTATGACAATAATTTTATAAAATTAGTTGATTTTTTGCTCATTTATGGACATAAAACAGTTGGGTGGAACAACATTAAATTATTGTATCTTTCATGGTTGATTGATTATACTTATGCAAGTTTGATTGTTTAATTGGATTGAAAGTTTTTTTGCTTAATAATTGGAATTAGAGCTATCATGATTCTATCAACTAGTATTAGAACAAAAGTTTGAGAAATAAGAAAAAATAAACCTAGAAGAGTTCAATTTAATATAATAGTTCAAATTTATGTTTTTGAGAAATTAATTTGCATGAAACATGAATACACATAGAGAATATTGTTAAGCAACTTTCATTACTGGTAGAGTTAAGCATGTTTAACATGAAAACTAATGATTTTGATAAAATTTGAATGAAGGTAAAGATTATTGAAAATAATGAACTCAAATTCCATAAAATATTTTTTTGTGATTTTTCAATATAAGTTAGATATTACTTATGGGATAAAAAAAACTTGTAATCAAAGAATTATGAGAAGAAAGAGATTTTTTATTAATAAAGTAGTATGTTTGTAAATAGTGAAGTTTTAATAGGATTAGATATGAAAAACATGTAAAATAATTGTAAGTTTCATTAAGTAAACATCTTATAAGATTAAAGAATATTGAGAATGTTCTTATGGGTCTGTATTGTTGTATGTTTCAATAGACTATATGAGAACGAGATGATCTACAAAAATATGATAAATCACATGAATATGTATATATGATTGTTTTTGTTAAAAACACTTCATAAGACTATAAAAAGAATGAGAAAATTTATGAATATTAATTGTCAATATCGATTAATATAATTACATATTTATAATTTTTTATAATTAGTAAATTTTTTTTTTGTAAACGTAAGTTAATTGAATTGAATCATGTTAAATTATTATATTTTATGAAATTAATAATTTAATCATAATTCCATTAATTTAATTATTTAATTAGATTGAAACCTTTTTGCTTAATAACTGAAATTAAAGCTATTATACTCTTAACATAGAAACCCAATTACTATTCACTGGCTGCCGTTGATGCCTCGTCCCCTTCCCAATATTGCAGGCAGGGGCAATCTTTTTAATTCAAATTTAAAATCTCTAATAAGATCTTCAATCATGCATAAGCATAGAAGAGTCTTAGTTGAAGTGATCTTTATTGAAGTATATTATATATATTATCTTGTAACTTAGCAGGACAATCACATTCTAACAATCTTACTTATAAATATTAGTCAGTTAATAAGAAACAATTTTTTATTTATTTATAAAATTTGATTTTTTGTAAAAATTTTTTAAATAAAATATTGAATAAATCATGTAAATAATATGTTTCTAAAGTCATTAGAAAAGAATGTGAAAACGAGATAAAGAATAAAAGTACTTCTAATCGAATAATATATATACATATAAATAATAATGTATTAAAAAAAAAAAAACAATCGCATGACATCACAGAGTACATATTATATGAATATTT